ATTGTTAGGCTGAATACAGATACACACACTGACACACTTATTTAATTTTAGTTTTGTTTTGGTTGCTATGCCTTGACTCTGGTCCGGCATAGTACACAGCCACCGGTGTGAACCGAGTAAAACCCACTAAACCCAACATAATAATAATAAAGTGACACTTTGTGTTTCAAACAACGCTTCATGTTCAAACTGCACATGCACTTAAAAAATCTCTTGCCGTGAAAGCATCTCTTGCATTATATTTGTGTGTTTTCAGCATTTCTGTTCAATTTATTTTTGATGTGCTTGTTTAAATATATATATATATATATTATACACATATATATGTATATTTATGTCACAATGGATAATTTTTAAATTCTAAAGTTTATATCTTTCCAAGACTTAATCTCTGAGCCTATTTTAGAAAATTTTACATACATCAAATGCTTCCGTTACTTTTCATTCAAATACCACAAGAAAGAAAATCAACTATTACACAAAGTGTTGCTCTGTGTAAGCTTCAGCATAACTCAGCAATTCTAGACAACTGTGTAAATCAGCAAATGCACGTATTCCAAGACAGTTAGAAGGATGGAGCTGCGCTTGCAAGAAATCACAACATGCATCACGTACATCCGTTAACTGCAGTAAATTGGCTGCTGGCAACAAAACCTATAGTATAAATCACCAACAATTAATCATCATAATAAACTCGGAATTTTCAGTCATAGAAATTAGAAAAAAATAAATACCTGTACATTATCTTCGGTGACTTGTATTTCTGCAGAATACACATAGTCAATAAGCAGCTGCAAAGCCTGGCCGTCGACACCCTGAATAGTAATTTTATCTGCCTTGCTCTCAGTAAATCCCGTAAACATGGCATAAAAATAAGGACTACACGAAGCGAGTACCATTTTGTGTGCTGGTATTTCAGCACTGTCCGCAACCAATGTAACATCACAAAGCAAGTTCTGCCTTTAAAGATATTTTTATTTATTATTTTCCTGAGATATAAAAGTAGAGACAACAACAAATGTAAATGAATAAAAGTAACTCTTACTTCCTCAATATACTCATAACTTCAAAAGCTTTTTGAGTATGGTGAACATTCTTGTAAGGTGGCTTATCACCCGTTCCTGCATAACGAGAACGGGTGAAATCCATCATTCTGGATTTTGACTCTTCTGAACTAGAAAAATAAAATACAATCCAAATGTTACATTCATCAGAATTTTATAAATACATTTACAATTCTAAACTATAAAATTCTATTATTTTTTATAAATGTTACCAAGTACAATTTAGTAAAACTGGAACACATTTTGTAATAAACTAGTTTTGAAAGTTACCTTTTTTTTTGTAATTTTTTCTAAATTTGTTTTCCTCCTTTTTTTTTTAATTAATAAAATAAATAAACTGGAGAATTCAAGAAAAAAATGTTAATGTACTATTTACTCTGTAACATTTAAAATAAATGACAGTGACACTCATTTTTTCTTCTTTTTAACCAATTAGTAAAATCTAATTTCAAGGATGAAAGAATTAGGTCAATAATCTTATTGGGCACATTGAAAATGAATTTCAACTTAAAATATATTTTAGTTTAAGATTTAGGAGAAATTTTATTAAATAATAAACATGTAAAGAAGTTTTTAAAAAATTATACTAAAAAATTAATCTATAAACATGTAATAAATGAGCACAATTTAATCTTAATTTTAAAATTTGTTGATTTTGTGTGCTGGTATTTTAAAATTTAAATTTATTGATTAATATTTTAAATAATTCTAAATATTGCAGATATTTGTGATATATTTATCTAAAGAATTAATATACATAATTAGACAACTTCAAGTAAAAAATTCATTTCTTTCCCAACTGTAATATTGCTTCATTCATTTGTCATTTCTACACCTACAGTAATGAACACTATTACTGAATCAAAACTGGCCAAAAGCTATGATATAACTATTATCATATAATTTGTGAGCACAAAAAAAGAAAATTATCTCTTAATACACATAAATATATTGCCTTATATAAAGATATATCTAAAAATGTTGAAAGCTATTTCGCAACTTATTTACACACCAAACAACCAGCGGTTCTCAACGTTATATTAAAACATTACTGATTTAGGATATAGTCCATATTTATCTAAATGGGACAATAATTACGAAACAACTTCAAAAAACATTTTGTGTTTACAATGGGAAAAGAGTTATAATCACTTTCTTTAAATGTTATATTTAGTGTTGTTTTTCAATCACTGAAGTGATTTTTTTAATATATATAACTGTCTAATTAGATTAAGAAGCCATAGAGTAAATTGTGGATTAAAATTACAGTTATGTAAGGTTATTGGATTAACATCTTCAGTTAAAGACAAATATAGATCTGTTAAAATACTGTATAATGTATATATATAATCAATACTTTCATAACCATCAAACATAGAAATAACCATAGAAACATAGAAACTTAATGCAAAGTATAATTGAAGTATAAAATTATTTTAGAAATTTAAATTTTTAAGAATTAATCAATGAAAGAATTTTTTTCTTTTTATTAATTAATAAAGTTCTATCAGCTTAATTGTTTTAATTTTAAAAAAGTGATTGTTTTTGAATGAAAAAGATTAGTTAAATTACAACTGAAAACCTTTAAATTCCTAGTGGATTCATTTAAAAAACTAATCTATTAATTTTTAATTTTAAATATTGCACATGCTTATTTTTAAATGTTACAAAATCTAGAAATAATAATGTTCTGGAAGGTAACATTTCTATCTTAGATCTTTGAACCTGAAGAAAGTTGCTTAAGACAGTCATAAATGCTAGTTTTTTAAAATAAATTTACTGATTTAAAGTCTCGTGTTTTTAAAATATCCATTCTATTCTTGTAACCTAAATTTAATACTCTCTTATAATAACTTTATCAACCAATATCTCATATTAAAATTTTAAAATTATTCTTCAATATAAAATAAATTGTTTAAATTAAAACAAACTCAAAATCTGTAATTTCAAACGATAAAAAAAATTTTCATTTAAACACAACTCCATACATAAAATGAAATGAAATATAATATTTTAATGGAGAAAAATTTTTTAAAAATCAGAAAAAGAAAGCGTTCAAGTGCTTTTGACTTAACACAATTCATCCATTACAGTATTATTTTTGTTTCTTTTTTTTTTAAATTCATTTGTTTTGATGACTCAATTGAGCAACTTTGATACTATATTATGGTAAATATATATCTTTTTTTCAACTAGAGTACAGTTATAAAAAAGTTTATTTTTTAAAAAACCAAAATATTTATATGGCACACTAATATTATTTTATTACTTATTCTTTTTTGTTGGTTTTGTTGATTTTAATTTAAGATGCTTGTAAAAGGCCAACCTGGCTACAGTGTCTTTTTTTGAGAAATAAAATAAAAAATAAAATGCTATTTTAATCATTTTATTGTTTAATAACTAATATAAACAAGCAAAAGCACTGTGCTATAATTTATTATAATATGTAAATCATAAATTTGATTACAATTAATGTAATCAAATTTATGATTACATTAATTATATAGAATATTTAAATGTAAATTAAATTATAATAATGTGACTCTCATTGAAACTTGACTGTAAATAATTGAAATGTGACTCTCGTTGAAACTTGATTGTAAATAATTGAAAATTTTTATGATTTAATTGTAGTTACATTTTTTCATTTATTACAACTGTATAAGCTGAAAATGATTATTTAATAAAATGCCTTCCTTCATCCTGCTTTTGAAAAAATCTAACTGAATAAACATGATAAATTAGAAATTTTCAAAATTAATTATAATAAGAAAATATTTCTAAAAGTATTTTCAAGTTTTATTAGTAAGGCTTTCTCAGTTAATGTTCGATTACAGAAGTATTTTATTTATAATAATTAGAAATACAAAAGACTCCACTTTTATGATCTAATTAATTCTTAAAAAAACTATCATTAAATGCACTCTCATAAATTAATGCTTTCTTACAAGTTCAATGTCTTTAATTGTGGTTTTCTCTGTGGAAACAACATTTGAACTACATAATACCACACTAAAAGGAGGAAACAAAATACAAAATAAATATGGCATTTCATAAATCACGACAGAAAATTTAAACTTGTCAATAGGTGGGGAATCAAAGTAAATAATTGAAGAAGAATCTAGCATACAGGTATACCTCGCCTTACGTCGGTAATTGGTTCCAGGAGAACGACTTAAGTCGAAAAACGACGTAAGTCGAATTTACTTGTCTCCAAATCTACTTGTCACTAGGCTAAACCATAAATTGCCAATTCCGGTTCTGTATTTTATTTATTAATGCATTTTTAATAATATATGGTTAATAAGAATCTATTTTAAGCTTATATACAAATAAATTTTAGTTTTTAATATAGTACAGAAAAAAGTAATCTAAATTTACGAATGCATGTACTGTAAATACAGTACATACTTGTAAATGTATATATTTTAATATGATTTTATGTGCTTTAAACGCTTTTCTAGTGATATTACGACTTCAATATTTGTGGCGGACAGACGTAAAGTCGAATAAAATGACTTAAACTTGATTTTTATTTTTCCATATACTTTTTTGACAAACGACGTATAATCGGGAACGACGTAACTCGAAACGACGTAAGTCGAGGTATACCTGTACTTGTTTTGTATTAACTAAATGTTATTGAATACTCTGTAAACAAAGCATATTTTTCTTAAGAAACTAAAACCTTTACTTTCCAGCACGAAATGCATACCAGAATAATTGTTTTCTGTTAATTTAATTAATCAACAACAGGTTCTAATTTAATACAGATGTTTGATAACTCAAGCATAAATAATTTGTAAATGTTCATGAATAGAATGCATCAAATGTTTGCAAGCTTAAATGCTTTTCTGAATCAAGTTCATGTGGCAAAGCTTTATAATCATAGTATGTTTGGTATTAAATTAGATAGCTCATTAAATTAGCCAAAAACATTTGTTCTATATAAATTTTACATTTAATAAAGATTTTAGTTTAAATTGAACTTTTTCTTCAAACATTTTTGATTAAAATATACACAATTCTATTTTATTTAACAAAAAAATTTTAAAATTGTTTAAAATTAATTCTATCATCAGCAAATAAAGTAGTTAGCAATTTAAAATATAATTTATTTAAATGTTTATTCTATGAATAAGCCAAAATGTTTTTATTGCATACTTTGAAATTAAAATCAATATTCTTTCATTTTAAACATTTAAGTTCTAGTATTATTAAGTATGAGAATATTATAGAAGCAGGAAAACATAATAGGATGCTGTCTACAAATTGCCATTTAAAAGGAAATGCAATATTAAATTATTTTCATTATTATCAATATTATGAACATTATAAAACTTGATTAAATCAATATAAATACAATTAGTAACCTAAATATAATGTCATACAGAATGAATGCAAATATATATTATTAAATCATACACAAAGTAGGAAATAATGCATTATTACATCTTTATTAATTTAATATAGTAATATAGATTATACACAATCAAATGAACTAAACTAGAATGTAAATGACAATACTTTCATCAAAAATAACTTCATTTTAATGTTGCAATTGTATTAATAAATACTTTCAACTAAACAGACAAATTTTCTCCAATAAATTTATTTATATTTTAAATAAGTTTAGGCTGTTTCTTCTCAAATAGTGGCAAAGTCCTTAAATATAAATAAATTAAAACTGACTTCTTATACTTTTTAGTTGACACTGCTATATCATCTTAAATTTCTATGAAACCAGTTAGTAATATAAAGATCAACAGTTCATTTATTATAAAAAAAAAATTTAATTAAGTTACTTTATGCAATCATTTTCAAATTTATAATTTATAAATTATATGACAGTACAAAAACATAGTCTGTATACTACACGAGTGTGCATCACCTATCCACTTACAGGTTTTGATGTCTTGAAAAATTAAAATGACAAAATAAAAAAGTATCCTAAAAATCAATTATAGTATATTCTAAATATAGATTTATTTTTTAAATGTTTTTATAACAGGAAATTTAATAATGCAAAATAATTACAAAACCAAAAATTAAATCAGAGTCCATCAATAAATAATATAATAATTTAACAAAAATTGAGGACATTACATAATAAATGAACAACATTAAAATGAATAAAATATGGAGATGTAGAGGATGCATAAATCTGTTATGAAAGTGAACTATTTAGATGAATCTTTCTACATTTAATCAATACCTGGCCATATATTACTACTAAACTAAATTTATCCTCTTTTTATAGCTATAATAAACTAACCAATAAAACCAACAAAGTTATTTTTAAACTTAAAATTGAGTAATAAATAAAAATTATCTTATGTTTTCTAATTTGTTAAACATAACATTTGACCTTATGGTATGTAATTTACCTTATTAATTACTTAAATAATCAAAAAGAAAAGCATTAAAGTGTCCTACATAACAATATAAAATATTTAAGGTAGAAAAAAGGCTAATTAATGCTTTCATTTAAATCATTAATTTATAAATACACCTATTGTTATTTTATTACAGACAGAACTATAGCAAAAACACAACTGAAACAAATAATTTAAAGGGGGAAAAAATTCATTAACTTAAAAGTTTAGTGAACTCTTATCATTATTTAAACAAGCCAGATAAAAATACAAAGTCATGATACTGTAAATGTAATCTTTGTAATTAATTTAAGTTATTAAATAACTACTAACTTCAAAAGCATTATTTTGAAGTCAATGGACTTCTAAATGATATTTAGCATTTTAAATCATTACTTTAATTATACTAATACTTTTCCTTTGCAATTCTCATTGTTTATAAGACTGAAAATCAGTGCTTTGTTAATTTAACTTGTCTAAAGCTTAAGTAATTATTCTCCATGGTTTTGATACACACCGTATACAATAATACTGAAAGTTTCTTAGTAGTATATTGTATCATCTGCAAAACCTGTATGATTTGTAGACTAGAATTAAGCTAATAATTCATATATTTAAAAAAAATATATATATATATATATATATAAAACATCATTTTTGGTAATCATACAGACTTTATATTATTACTATTAATTGAACTGATATACAAGTAATTTGGAATGTAGTTTCTATACTAAACAGTGGTCTTTTAACATCCTTAATATACCAACTTTATTTAAAACCTATTATCAATAAAATATATTTCTGTTTGATGAAAATTCTATAAATGTCACTGTTTCAGTGCAGTGTCCAAGTTTTTGGGGCTTATCATGCCTATTTATATTTTATGTGTATTCGAATACACTTGTCAAGAATATTGAAATATAGAACACTTTCTCATGTAAATAACCTTTTTTAATATATCAATACATTGCTACAATATTACATAATCAAGAATTTATAAATATTTTAACTTAAAAATGCAGAATATTTGCAAAGGATTCATCCATTTTTTAAATTTTAATTATTGTTTTTGTATACCAATTATTATCAATTGACTAAAATCCTTTAAAACAATTTTTTTGATTTTGATAGATAAAATTTTCTTTGATTGATTTTCTGTGGATTTTTTTAAGCCTAAAATTTTTGGTGTTTTTTTCAGTAACTTACATCATACAAAAAACTCTTATTAATTAATATAGACTATATCAATAAGAGTTTCTTATGTGATGCAAGTTACTGGAAAAAAAACCAAAAATTTTAGGCTTAAAAAAAAATCCATAAAATTTTCTATCAGAATGCATTTGATTATGCAATCCAGAGGTTATTTTCAAACAAAATATATAATATTAGGTATTTTTCTGTTAATGGGATGCCAGCCAATATGGTAAGATTCAAGCTCTGAATGAGGGATTTTACATTACCCCCAGAAATGTTGACCCTTCACAAGATATTTGCCTCCAAAGACCAGTTTTTAACATGTATCAGTACTGCCTATACTACTTGCTTTACATGTAGTTATGCACTTCAGAGCTCGCTATTGCTTGCACCTCAGTGCCCAGGTAAGGGTGAGCATCCACAACCCTAAAACTAACCTCAAGTACTACATGAAGAATCAAATGGGCTAAATAGTTAAACACGATAGTCTTAGCAGATCAACACAGACAATGGTATTGTGCATTGGATTAAAGTTACAATCGACATCCTGTTAACAAAAAAGAACCAAAAAATGTCTTTACATAATCAGACAATGTATTTTTTAATGTATAAATCTGTGATGAACTAGAATTAAAGATAAATATTTTTGTTAAAGAGTTATGTAATATTTTATTTTGATAAAATTCCATATCCTTCACTATATATTCTATAAAAATAAGTCCATTTACAGAACTCATCAAGGCATTCAAATTAAACTTCAGAATATGTAATGCTCTTATTATTTACACAACTTAACTCTCAAAGTCAGTTTCACACATTATATCAAGATAAACAAATTGCTCAATAACTTCTTATACAAAAATAAATTTCACATCTTCACAGTTGTATTGCAACTTTTTATACAGTTTTTTTACAGATAGTTAAAGACCAAAAAAATAATCTATATTCAGCTTACAAAATAATTCATTTGGAAACATTCACAATAAAAATCTAAATATTTCTGAACACAAACCAACAAATTGTTTTCGGGCAATATAGACGAAAATAATTCAGAAGTCATAGCTATTTTAATAAAGCAATTATTGAGATTTAACAAAAAATAATCTGGCATTTAGTTTAAATCAATATCCAAATACAGGCGGTACTATAAGGATCAAAATCTTTTTACTTCATTGTAAAGAGAACTCGCATTGATTGTATCAACAATAATCAACTATTATTAAAACCATGACAATAAGCATTATACAATATGACATCTCAATTTCCATTTTAATAATTACTTAGATCTTTACATGCTGTTTTTTTACTGCATACCAGAATCATTAAAAACAAATCAATATGATGATTTTCAAAAGAAAAACAAAACAAAAAATTGATGTTATTATCTATAACATCAATTTTTTGTTTTGAACTGAGTAAATTAATTGTTTAATTTACTCAGTTCTGTAACTAATAATGAGAATGAAGCTAATATTTTCTATGGATTCAAAATTAAAGTGTAATTATATATTTATGTTGATGAATGTCTCCAACAGGATGCTACAACCTGTTCTTCGAAGCAATTGAAATGGCTTTGAGGTGATGAGTAAAATCATATGGGAAAAAATTATCTACAGAAATTGATCTGCAAATGTTTATTGTATAATAAAAGTTAATTTATAAAATAAACAGCGAAAGTGAACAAACTCACATTAAATAATTCAAACACAATCGCACAAATGTTAAATGTTATATTTTCAATTGCAATTATCATCTTATCGCATTTAATCCTTAAAATATCAAACTTACCAATCAGACATTTTGATTTCTTTTTTAAAAATCACAAATATATCATTTTCGCGTAATAAGACTTTCTTACATTTCATAACTCACAAGACATTTCTATTGCGCATGATCGAAAGAAATAAAAAATAATAATTTTATTCGTTTCGATATATAATTATAAATAAAATAAAACGTTGAAAATTAATTAAAATAAATTTTAAAATCGTAATTAAATCGAATGGATAATAAATTAGAAATATTTTACACTTCGTACGCATGCGCATAATTTTAAAAATAGACCCTTTTTTCTCCTTTTTTTTTTCCTCCTCCTTTTTCATTTATTTCATTTCGAATTTATTTACGGCAAAATTTTAAAATTATCGTTTTTCTATTTAATGTCGTAAAATTTAAATTTGAGTAATTTTTAATTTGATTCTCGTTTAATATTATTTGATTTTACGATTAAATTATTTTTTTGTAAATCGATACTAGGGGGCGCTTCGTGGCGATGGGTTTCTCGCTGGAGTGAGTCGTCTGATCAGTAAACAATTTAACTTCCTTAATTTTGATATTTAGTTAAAGAAGAATGTTTAAATTTAAGTAACGAATGCCTTCACGTAACAAAAATGGAGAAAGAGGAAATCGAGGTAATTTTCTATTTTTTGTTTAACGTATATACATTATCAATTAGGCTTAATTATGTTTAACATGGCAATTTATTAATAAAAAAAGTGTTCGTTTGGTGTTATTTATAAACTGTAACTCAACTCGTTATAATTGCTATCTTGTGTTAAATATAGGCAAAATTTTATGTTAAAAGGGAAAGTAAAATCTGTTTTCAACCTCCATACACCTTTTATGAATATTAGATTTTGCTGATATCATACACTAGTCTAATTTGTGAATGAGTAATGCATATGTAATGATGAGTTGTCACTTACTATTTTACTCGACATATTCTGTATTTATAATCAAAACAATTGCATATTTTTATACATTTTCTCTTATTACAACTAATGTGTATGATTTGTTATTCATGGACAAACAAAACTGCTTAGTTCAGAAAGCCAACACAATAAAAGAAGCATTTTTTTTTAGTCAAATGTCTGACCATCTTCAACTTAAAGCAACACTTCACAAATTAGAATAAATTCAAAATACACTTAAAATTAAAAATTTGTAAAATATAAAAATATTCACAAATTAGAAGAAAATTCCTTTATGTATTGTCCTTTTTGACACTTTGGGAACACGACTGTTTTTACAGGATAAAATATGAAACTGAAGACATTTATTGTTTTGTCTAATTTGTGAATATATATTATTGTTGTCCTGGCTAAAAATTTATAGTTTTGAAAGTATGATTAATTTGCAAGATAAAAATAGGCAATACTTTATAATTTTTTTTATTAGCAAAAATTATCTGTATCAGCTGTGATGTTTAATAGTTAAGACAGGTAATTCACCATGAGGTGATGGGCAATTAATGGAGTGAATGAACCAGTATGAATACATCTCATCTGGATTGTCTCTTAGAGAAAATGAGAAAAAAATAACTGATTGCTGACAAAATAAAAAATTGTTTTTTCATATTTTAATCTTCTAATATAATTTGACTGATTTCAGATAAGAACTGACTAATATTACAATTGTTACATTATTTAAAAAGGACAGTTAATTGCTGTAATAAGTAAAAAAAAATTACTTTTTATATATAATGATTAGATTAATGTATGAAAAGAATTTATCTATTATATGCATTATCAAATCTTATATTCAATATAATTATGAGATCTTCATTATTTAATTTTCACTTTATTTTTCTTGTAGTAATAATTTCATTTAGTACATAAAATTTGCATTGTTAGTACAGTACTTTTTTTTACATTAAAATTTTGATAAGTTTTAGCTATTTTCCTACATGACATATATACTTATTGTGCATGAAAATATTACTAATTTATTTTGTGAGGATATCCCTACAAAATTTTTTGAATTATTCTTTAATGCCAATTGATTTATCCAACAAATATCTCATTTGTCATTTGAAAGTTGTTAGGACCTAAAAAGTCTGACTTGAATTCATAATAATGATTAAATTGTATTAACTAAATTAATATACAGTATTAGAATTTTGTTTAATTAATAGTTTTCAGGATAAAGAAGAAAGTTTTTTACATGTGATTTTAATATATATATACTCAAAAGATATATTAATATAAATTCATACGTTGCTTTACTTTTTTAAAGTTATAAATGTAACATTTAAAAAAGTGCAAGTTTAACAATAATAGTTTTTATCAAAATATCCAAATAATTATAAAACACAATTTACAGTAACTTCAACATACTTTCCTTTCTCTAGAAAACTTTCCTAATAAGTGTTTATTAGATTTAAAGCTTTTTAAATCATTTACTAATTTTATTAACATTTCTCTGTTTTTTTTCTTTTTTAATGTAGTGATAAGTTGACTTGAATACAAGAATTTATAATTAAAATATTTTAAACATAAAATTTGAAAAATTATTATCATCTTTGAGTTGAACAGTAAATCAGGAATTTTTCAGTTACATAAAACAGTAATGTATGTCAATATCTGGAACTACTCAAGTGAACACAATGTATTCTAATTAGCATAATATATTGGAATAAAGATGTAATTTTAAATACAAAAGCTGAAAAATTATACCAGATATTATTATTAATGTTGATTCCTAAATTTTTTTGTTTTTTTTTTATGCTGCCTAATTTATCTATATTTCTTAAATTTTTATAAAAAGCATCCTTTTCTATTTGTAATATTCTGATATATGCTTTATTAGTATTGTAATTTTGCATGGTTTGTTATATGTAGATATGATCAATTAATAAGGCTGGATTAATGTTTGGACTAGAACTTGGCTAATTAGTGTAATTTCATAATATCTATAAAATTTAGACTAAAGATAGATAGTTAAGTCATCATTAATTTTTAATTCAAATTGCATAGTATTTATGAAATTAATTAGCCAAGTTCAAGCTTGATAGTTAAAATGGCCTTATAATTTGATCATAAGAATATTTCAGGCTTGGTTGTCTATATGTATTTATATGTAAATATGAGAATTTTTTAAATTTAATTTACCAAAATGTTTCTTGTCTGCCAATCTGTTTTTATGATATAATTTTATTCAATTTCACATTTATATATCTGTTTCATCAAAATTTTTTATATAACATAAAAGTGTATTACTGTATATTTAAGGTATAAATTAAACTTTTAGGGAATCTTTAATACATATAAAATATAAATATATTAAAACATAAGACATTAGAATGTCTTAAGTTTTGATATATTCTATTGTTAGAATGTGTTAAATAATGAGATATTTAATTCTAATAAAGTTAAACTAGTGCTTATTAATAGTTATCTATATATATAACCCATTCAACGGGTATCCGTCTGTCTGTCCCGTAACCATTTGATAACGGACACTAGAGGCGCCCCTATCGTGTGTCATATTTCAAACATTCAAATTAACAATTTTAATTCTTATTTAAATTAACAATATAAATTTTTATTATTCATTTGGCCAATAAATTATTATTTGGTCAATATAACAATATAAATAATTCAGTATATTTGTAATAGGAATTCATTATTTCAGGGGCTTATATCTCTCGAAGGGTTGCGAGTAGGGGTATGGTTCCTTTGACTTTATTGTTAGCAGAGCCGGCCCTACCATAGGGCGAACGGAGCAACCGCTCCAGCCGCTAAGTCCTAGGGGTGCCTCAGTGGTAAAGAAAATTAAAGGGTATAAATTAGGGGCGACCAAGGGGGCGCCATAATAGGATCTTGCTCCATCCTGAAACTTGCCTCAGGCCGGCACTGATTGTTAGTACAGGGATATACGGTTTGGGGGGTTGCCACCTCTTCATTTGGAGGGTAAATCTTATCATTCGGACTTTAACAGAGCTGTAGAGCATATTGATAGGAACAAAACAGTCAAAGGAACCGTGCCTCATAGAAATTTGTAAAGAATGCCCACTAGAGGGCGTCCCGAGCTACTAGTTAAGTAAGAATTTGGTTAAAACAGTATATTTATCAATTAGATGTTAAATATATGAAATTTCTTCATTCTTCTATTGTGTTACACAAGATAATCATTAAGTACAGCAGTAAAATCAAATGTATTCAAACTTAATTTTAGCATCATCTAGAATTCTAGGTTAATCTAGAAGTTGTCAAAGCTAGAAATTCAGCAAAGTTAATCTTAATAGGTTTTTGAATTAATTTTGATAAATTTTTCTATTTGTTTTTAGTATTGTATTATATTATGTAACATCATTACGAAGATTTTTTCATGTATTAAAAGTGAGTCTAAATGATTAGATAACAAATATGAAAATAAATAAAATGTAGAAAATATACATGAAAAGAAAACTGGAGAAAAAGAAAGATCTATAAGTAGTAGTTGCAAATAATAAGAAAATAATGATAAAATATTTACAGTCTTAAAGATGTAATAAAATAGAGTAAAAGATATATTGATAATTAATAAGTCAGAATGTATATAATGAAAATATCAATATTATAATTTGCATTAGTGTATTGTTAATTTAAAATTAATTTAATTTTTTTGTCTTCTTGAATAATTCATAATAATGATAGTTACAAACTAAGACATTTAGTGGTGTTTAAAGAAGAACAAATCAATAACTGAATATTACAAGTATTTTAATCACTATTTAAATCAAAATTAATAATACTAGTTAATAATCAGAAAAGCCTATATTTTAAAAAATTAAAGAAAAATGGTAATGTATTTCTCAATATTCTACTAAAAGTAATTAGATTATTATAGATATTGCTAAATACCAGTAATTATTTTTGAATTTTTGTCTATTGAAAATAGTCAATTTTGTATTATTATAATGTTTTATGCTGAAAATAAACATTTTGAGAAAACTCAGATATCACTTTTCAGCTCTACTATGAATATCTCAACAAAATAAGTCCAAAATAATGTTATGGACCGTGATTTAATATTTAGATATACTTGTTTATTAGATATGATTTTAAAATCTTGTTAACATTTTTTTTTATTAAAAACAAAAGTACAGAATCTCTTACTATGATAGAAATAACAAGAGTTTTTTTATTGTACAGTAAAGTATTAGTTATTACTTTTAAGTTCTTGTCTACAGTTTTCATCAGTAAGAGAAAATGTTAAAATTTTTCTGTCAACATTCATTTTTTATTATTTTGTATATATTATTAGATTATTTTATATACATCTTTTAGATTTTGTACAATTAAAGCTGAAAAATCAATTTTGTTTAAATATCCACTAATACTATTAACATTTCTCTGTTTTTTTTCTTTTTTAATGTAGTGATAAGTTGACTTGAATACAAGAATTTATAATTAAAATATTTTAAACATAAAATTTGAAAAATTATTATCATCTTTGAGTTGAACAGTAAATCAGGAATTTTTCAGTTACATAAAACAGTAATGTATGTCAATATCTGGAACTACTCAAGTGAACACAATGTATTCTAATTAGCATAATATATTGGAATAAAGATGTAATTTTAAATACAAAAGCTGAAAAATTATACCAGATATTATTATTAATGTTGATTCCTAAATTTTTTTGTTTTTTTTTTATGCTGCCTAATTTATCTATATTTCTTAAATTTTTATAAAAAGCATCCTTTTCTATTTGTAATATTCTGATATATGCTTTATTAGTATTGTAATTTTGCATGGTTTGTTATATGTAGATATGATCAATTAATAAGGCTGGATTAATGTTTGGACTAGAACTTGGCTAATTAGTGTAATTTCATAATATCTATAAAATTTAGACTAAAGATAGATAGTTAAGTCATCATTAATTTTTAATTCAAATTGCATAGTATTTATGAAATTAATTAGCCAAGTTCAAGCTTGATAGTTAAAATGGCCTTATAATTTGATCATAAGAATATTTCAGGCTTGGTTGTCTATATGTATTTATATGTAAATATGAGAATTTTTTAAATTTAATTTACCAAAATGTTTCTTGTCTGCCAATCTGTTTTTATGATATAATTTTATTCAATTTCACATTTATATATCTGTTTCATCAAAATTTTTTATATAACATAAAAGTGTATTACTGTATATTTAAGGTATAAATTAAACTTTTAGGGAATCTTTAATACATATAAAATATAAATATATTAAAACATNATCTTTTAGATTTTGTACAATTAAAGCTGAAAAATCAATTTTGTTTAAATATCCACACACACACACACACACACACACACACACACACACACACACACACACAGTCAGTTTAATAATAATCAGAATTCGAAACCTAATTTCAAATGCCAGAAAATTTATAATGTTTTTTTTAATATGATTTCTGTTTAGTTTTGTGGATTATTCTGACAACAGAAACAAGAAATTTAAAATATTTGAATTTTGAAATAGGTATTTTGGCTTCTGAAAGTTACTATTCAAAAAATTTTAGTTAATTTTATTTTACTTTAATAGCTTTGTAATTTATGTTTATAAATGCAATATTAGTTTCTTGGATCAATTATTATAAGTCTTTGATTTATCTGACATACCATACAGTATGTCTGATAAATCAAGTTTATCAAATAATTCCTTTTAAGTTACTAATCTGAACTTCTAATCAATCATCTTTGTGTGTCATGATACTAACGGTTCACTGCATGCTGAGTATATCTTCCATGGGTATCCTTGGACTAAATATTCTTGTGGATTACTTTATTTCATAAAACCAAAACAATCAGAAAGGTTATTTTATTAAATAGAAGCTAATAAAAGTTCTTCATAGTCTTTTGAAGTGATTATTGATTTATTATTGTATTTATTATATTAAACAACAACACAACACTGGGTGTAGTAAAAATTGTACTCTATGTACTGATGACTAGTCTGAAATAAAAAAAAACAAAAGAGAACGTTCACCACTAACGTTTTCAAACTCCCCTGAGTTCTTTTTCAGGTGTTAAATGGAATTTCTGATGGAACATAAAACATTTAGATTATGAAAACTTGAAGAATTGTTCGAATCCAACACTCGAGAAATATTTGTCATCTTGTGCATGCGCATTCATATGGCTAGCATATCTTGACATTTAAAGATTGGTGTCAATCAGGGCCTGCCAGGCTACCGACAAAACCACTTCCTAAAATATAAATTTTCGTCTACAAGTACGTATCTTCTAATATCAGGACTTATTATACTGGCTTTACAGATAATGCTACAGAGTATCACAGAAAACAATTTTTTATTTTATTTAATATACCTGGACACATACATAATTTTGCGTTTCGGACACTTTCGTCCCTCCTCAGCAAGGTATTTTTGTAGTATACGAGTATTTAATTTTCAGACTTTTTTCTTTTGTTTTTAACTCTACTGGACATTCAATTTTAACCAATTTGACTAAGAGGAGTTAGTCAAATTGAACAGGAAGAGATGTTTAAGTTTACAGTAATATCATTGTTTTTGGTTAAAATTGAATGTCCAGTAGAGTTAAAAACGAAAGAAAAAAGTCTGAAAATTAGTACTCGTATACTACAAAAATACCTGCTGAGGAGGGACGAAAGTGTCCAAAACGCAATATTATGTATGTGTCCAGGTATATTAAATAAAATAAAAAATTGTTTTCTGTGGAACTCTGTAGCATTATCTGTAAAGCCAGTATAAGTTTTGATATTAGAAGATACATACTTGTAGATGAAAATTTATATTTTAGTAAGTCAAGGACATTGAGGCATTTAAATAAAACCACTTCCTCTTTATAATTGATGCATGTGGCGATAAGGCTAGATTTGTGTGTGTGAACGGCCTCCAACCATCTTAGGTGTTCCGTGAGGGATGAAATGAGGATGAGCTTTCACCTGGTTAAAGGCTGCTATGATATCTGGATCTGTGGCGTATGTGGCGAGGGCAGTGGTATTTCTCTCATGTTGTATAACCATGAGGTTCTCCTGTAATCTGACTCCCAAGGAGCATTTAGTCAAGCTGGTTTACATTGGCTCGACTAAATGCTTAACTACAGGCCACCATCTAATAGTAAATTTAATTATTAGAAATAATTTTTAAGTGGCAAATTGCAGACATATAGATTCCCATTTTCCTCAGAATTAAGAGCCAATATTGAAAGCTTAGAGGTAAAGGCACAATTAACTGTATATAAACTTCAGTCTGTATTGGAAGTAATATGAGTTTTTGAAATTAAAATATAATTAAAACTTGCAGTTTGGCGTTGTAATTACTTGTTTAAATTTAAAATAATCTGGAATTAAAGATTGGCACAGAGCAGGACTTGAGCCCAGAATTGCTTACTGAGCATTTCCCACTTTGGGCTGATCTTTCTTTTCTTCTAGATTATTCTGAATTTAAATTAAAAATTAAAATTTATTTCTAATTATTAAACTTATTATTAGATGGCAACCTAATTACTTATAGTGAAATTATTTTTTTTGTAATTGTTAAATTAGCCTTGTCACAGCTCAGTAAAAAATTCAGCAGTTTGTTTGGCAAAGTCTATAGTTTATATAATACATACCAAATCTACTGTGTGTGTGTGTGTGTGTGTGTGTACAGTTGACCCCCCTATAAGATATAGATACGTTCCATTCTTTAGGAATGCGATTTCTTACGAATCCTTTTAATCACAACCTGACACGTGTCAAGTTTACGGACTACGGCTGTTTGAAAGATTTTCTTCCATAAAATTAATCGATTCTAGACTAATCCGACTCAACATTTCCAAAATACATATATTTTTTTGGGAATAATCCGTATAAACTACGCTATAAACAAAAAATTGTAGGATTACTTACCGAGTTTGCACCGCCATTGCTAATGCTTGTTTTCATCGCAGAGGGACGCTCCGCGACGAAAACAAGCATTAGCAATGACGAAAGTTTTCTGATGACTTATTTTTCTGCGAAAACTTCGTTGAACTTTGGAGACATCATTAATATAAATAATTTTAATTGCAGTTGAATAAGAAATGTTTCTTTCACAAGAAATGTATAAAATTACAGTACTGTATGTGAGATTCCGAATTCGGATGTGTTTATATCATCTCATCATAATATCACATTGTAGTTCTACCTTCATTCCACGATGTCATAAGATCACAGTATAGCTATACTTTTGTTTAATAACTGTCAACTTTTACAACTGGGAGCTAAACATCTGCTAAGTTCTCAGGCGTAATAACGACGCTTTCTCAGCACCTTTCGACCTAATAGCGCGATTTTAACAATTCAACATTAGACACGACAACAAAGTGAGTCAGTCGTCACCAGTNCCCAGGCAGCGAGGAAACAGCTATAGGAACGCATTCGAGGACCCGAGAAACATAATAGGCGGCGTGAGAAATCAACATTATAATTCTCGATACAGACCAAGACGAGATGCGACAAGACACAATTCAGGCGACTCAAGAATTAACTGGAGAACTCGGATGACTCAATCTCGACCTCAGAGACAGCCATACGAGAGGAGAGGCAACCGAAACCGACGAAATTTTAGAGGCGAGTTTAGGCAACAGAGAACAAATACACAGGGGATTAAAATATCTAGATTTAGAGACGCAACACCTCAGCGTAATGTCAAGACGCCCGATGCAGAACCTGCATTACATTGCTTCATTAATGATAAATCAACTCAAGTAGCTATAGACACCGGCTCCACAGTCACACTATTATCCAGATCATTGGCGCACAAATTAGGCAACTGCAAGATGAGGATCAACAGGAACGAAATACCATTCCGAAGCATAACAGGACACGGAATCAACACCTACGGAAAAAACCACTTCCAATTCAAAGTCGGACCTTTGCAATTTTCTTATCCATGCTACATAGTAGACGATGAAATTATGCAACCATTTGAGGGACTGATAGGAAGAGACTTAATCAAAGAACAGGGATAGCCCGAGATTATGCATGGAAGGATGAAAAAATGAAAGCAGCGGACACATACGATGAATTTAAGAAACTTATGATAAAACGATTCGAGAGGGTTCCATACTCATTAAGATTGCAGAAATTTCATGCCTGTGTGCAAGCACGGGATGAAGACGTTCAAACATACGCCGTGCGCTTGCAAACTTTAGCCTCCGAAACTGTTATAGAACATAAAAGTGAGGACCCTGGAGAGGCAGCAATCATAAAACGATGTCAACAAAAAGAAGCAGATGAACGATTGAGGGTACAATTTCTTAGCGGGCTAAATGATCGCTTAAAAAGACCGGTAATGTCGAGGGAACCGGACACATTTGATAAGGCAGTACGCGTTGCTATCAGCGAAGAAACTATCGAGCAATTAACAGGAAGATCCCTAGGGATAGTCCGAAATATAAACAATCCCAATGATAATCAGGAAGAAGCTAGTGTTATAAATCAAAATGAATTAGAAGCAACCTTAGAGAAAATCCAAGAACAATTAAAACAATTAGGAACTTCACGTGGTCGAGGAATTCCGCGACGTAACCCCTCACCATTTTGGCGTCCTCGAAATTATCTAGATTCACAAACACAATATCAACCCCAAAGAAGACTGGGCGACGTCTCCCGAGACTCCCGAGGGCTACGAGATACATATTCCGATAGAAGTGTGGACGAAACAATCAGGCAGTTACAAGAGCAATTAGACGAACTAAAGCGGCAAAGAAGTCACACAGAATTCCCCAGGCAGCGAGGAAACAGCTATAGGAACGCATTCGAGGACCCGAGAAACATAATAGGCGGCGTGAGAAATCAACATTATAATTCTCGATACAGACCAAGACGAGATGCGACAAGACACAATTCAGGCGACTCAAGAATTAACTGGAGAACTCGGATGACTCAATCTCG